CAGGGTCCAACTACATAAATCACACTCATAGTGATTTTCCTGTTTTCAGCCTCCCAAGCCCTGGGATTACAGGTATGCACCACCACGCCCAGTCTCAATGCCACTCTGCCAAAGCAGGGAGATTAAATTCTTTCTTTCTTTTGTTGGTACCAGGGATTGAATTTAGGCCCTTATGCTTGCCAGGCAAGCACTTATTCCACTGAGCTGGGGGCCAGGGAGATGGCTCAATGGAATAAGTGCTTCCCTGGCAAGTGCAAGGGCCTGAGTTTAATCCACGGTTCTGGAAAAAAGAAAGAGAAGAAAGAAAGAAAGAAAGAAAGAAAGAAAGAAAGAAAGAAAGAAAGAAAGAAAGAGACCTTGCTCAGTCCACTGAGCCATCTCTGCAGCCTCAAGATTAATTTTGTTTTTCTTTTTTTCTCAGTGAAATGCCATCGTAAAGATTAATTTTTTTTTTTTTTTGAATTGGGGATTGAACTCAGAACCTTGTGCTTAACAAGGAAGCACTTATTATACTGAGCCGTCACCCCAGCCCCTAATTTTTTTAATGAGACAGGATCTAACTGTCTCAGTCTCCTTAGTGGTGGGGTTATATAGTAGTGCTACCTATATTATCTTTTTTTTTTCCGGAACCAGGGATTGAACTCAGACCCTTGCGCTTGCCAGGGAAATGCTTATTCTACTGAGCCATCTCCCCAGCCCCCCAAGATTATCTTTAATAGGGGCTGGAGAGATGGGGAGATAGCTCAGCAGCTTAAGCACCTGCCTGGAAAGCACAAGGTCCCGAGTTCAATCCCTGGTACTGGGAAAACATACACACACACACACACACACACACACACACACACACACGATTACTTTTAATACATCCATAAATACTATAGTATACAACCAGTAAATGTTAATAAAGATGTATATTTATTCATGTGGAAGTCTTAAGTAAACAATATAATAAGAAATAAGTTAGAAAAGAAAAGCATATTCCAAATATTAAGAGTGGTTATTTCTGGACAATATAAAAATATACAGAATTTCCATTAATAGAATAAATGTGAGGCACTTGTTAGACATGAACTCCTGTGTCCCTACATCAAGGCTGTCATCCAGGCATCCCCCGTGCCCACCACACAGCTCCTTGGGTCAATGTTTCTCTTCTTGTTCTTTTGAGACACAGTCTAGCTAGGTAGTTCAGCCTGGCCTTGAACTTATCCTATGTCGCCCAGGCCTGCCTTGCTCTCCTAGCAACCCCCTGCCCCAGGCTGCTGGGTTACAGGCGTGTACCACTGTGCCTGGCCCTCCTTCCCTTAATGTTCACGCACAGCCTGCTCCCCGACTTGAGGGGAGTCCCTGTGAACCTGACGTAAGCCGTGGATCTTTTCTAGAAAAGCAATGGGTGCCCCAGGCTGCGGTTTTGGGGTGGTGGTCCTGACTCCCTGACAGGTCTGGACACCTGCAGTGCAGTAAGGGCCCCCCAGGTCGCCACTCAGATCTGAGTCTACCTGTGTCAGCTCCTAGGGGATCAGGGAGGGGGTGCCGGGGCATAGGCCCCAGGATGTCCTGAGAGTCCATCTTGCTGTCCTGCTGGCCCCACGGTGACTCTCAGCCTGCAGCCCTGGTTCCCTGTGTCTTCCCAGGCCACCCCACCCCCACCCCCAGCCTGCAGCAGCCCTCCCGAGTCCTCTCAGCCTGTGCATAAGTATGGTCACCATGATGGCTAAGGGTTCGGGGGGGCTTCCACCAGTGTCACAGCTTTAGAGCTCGTGAATGTTTTATTCACAATGCCCAGTCCCCTCTTCCTGTGGGTGCCCTCGAGCCTGGGGTGGTGTGCTTTAGGTACTTCTATGGCTTCAGGAGGAAAAGGCCACTAGTAAGTTTGGTCCACGTCACGCAGGTGTCCATGGCCTCGGCCACCAGGTGGCGTCACTGACCTGGCTGGAGGATCCTTATCCCAGGCTGTATGACTGTGGGTGCCACCAGGATAGTCCTGCACTCCCTGCTCCCCTGTCCCCTGTCCCTCCTTTCTTCTCCTGTTGGGTGGCCCCAGCATAACAATGGAATATTAAAAATCACCAGATCCCAAAACCAACCATGAAAATAGCTTGTAGGCAGCCTGTGAGCTGTCATTGGCAGAGCTGTTGGCTTCGGCCATCCTGGTCTCTGTCTCGACCCTGGGACATCCCAGCACCCAGGTCCTCAAGGGAGACTTCCCGGAACTGCTGAAACCTGCAGTCACTGGGCAGGACCTTTCCCCTGAGGCTGAGCCAGACTATTTCTTGTGGAGAAACTTCATTTTGTTGCCTAAGAAAGAAAATATGAACATTTAATGACACAGAGAAAGACTGGTGTGTTAACTGTTGCCCCTTCTTTTTTGAGACAGGGTCTGACATTTTATGTAGTTCAGGCTAGTCTTGGACTTACTTGGAGGCCCAGAAGGGCCTTGAACCTGTGGCGATCTTCCTGCCTCAGCCTCCCAAGTGCTGGGATATGGGTTGGGGACAGATCAGCCCAGAACATGCAAATGCCATCTCACTGCCCCGTGGAGGTGGCAGAGCCCCACATTATTCTGGCGCTGGCTTTGGGAGGGAACCACCCAAGTCCCTTGCAGAGGCAGAGACCTGTGGGACTGAGCTGGTGGCCTTACCCAGTCCCTTCAGGAATCGGTTGACGCCGCTGTGCTCCCCGCTGGGTAGTGTTTCCAGGTACTCTTGGGCACGGACCTCAAACAGACCTGGTGACAAGAGACCGCGGCAGTGTCACCTCTTCCTCCCCTTGCACACTCCTGAGCTGCCCTTTGCCCACCCAGGCTTGGGCAGCAGCTGCCTGCAGGGGGCGCATGACTTCAAAGCCTGACACCACCCCTCCCAGAAGTTCAGGAAGGTAGGGGCCCGCCCTTCAGCGGTCTCTTCCAGGGGTAGGGTCTTTGGTTCCTGCTAAGCCTCTCTGTCTTCCACCTCCTTCAGCACACAGTGACTTAGACACTGGACTCAGCGCTGGGGATTGAGCTACACCTCCTGGCTTCTTTTTTCTTTTTTTTTGGTACTAGAAATAGAACTCAGGACCTTGAGCTTTCCAGGCAGGTGCTACGC